ACTGTTATCACAAGATATATTCAGCCTCAAGATGGGAAACAGTTACCAACTGAAGTGTCCCTTATTGAAATAAACTTAAAGCAAAATTAGTTTATCCAATGAAACTCTCCTTTTATCACTGGTTCTGTTTGTGAGGCATGTGTGAGACATTTTACTAGTTTACATGTCAAACCGTTCATTGGCCTGTACAGCAATGCTATTGTTGTTAAGTGTCTTGGAGTCAATTTTGACACATAGTCACTGTGTAGGGTTTTTGAGGCTTTTGGTGAGCAGAAAGCCTCATCTTTCTCCTGTGGAGTGACTTGTGGACTTGAACAATTGACTTTGTGGTTCACAGTCCAGTATTTATGCTAGTGAGTGGCATATGGATCTCAGAAAAACAACAGTGGTTGGCCTATGCCAACCCAGAGTTATTTATTTAAAACAAAGATGTTGTTGTTGTTGTTAAGTGCTGTCGAGTCAGTTCTGACCTATAGCGACCCTGTATAGGGTTTCCAAGGAGTGACTGGTGAGCTTGAACCACTGACCTTGTAGTTCAAATGACTTTACAATCTGGCCCATTAAATCACAGCATCACACCAGGACTCCTTAGATATTGTGCACTTGATTCATTGAACTGCCCTTCACTTGTGAGTGTGACAATGCCTTTTCTCAAACCAATGATGCCAGTCTGTTAACGGTGCTTTTATCTTGGTGTCTTAGTGTTTTAGTGCTGCGGTCCCAGAAATACGACTAGTGATAGTTATTACCAGACAGAGATTTATCCTCTCACAGGATGCTCTTCTTTCTTGGTAGTAGTAGAGCCATTTTCCTCTGCTCACTTTTCTTACCTTTTCTCTCTTGCAGGATAAAAGGTGTTGCAGGTCACCCCGGGAAACTCACTTACATTAAATTACAGTTGTAATGTAATTAAGGGCGTCAAATCCTACCCTTAATCCTTTTCTTGGTTTATCACATCAAATACCATCATAGAGAATCATCACATAACTATATTATGTTCATTGCAGAACAGTTAAACCACTGAGAATCATGACCCAGACAATGGCACATGTTTGTGTGTGTTGTGGGGCAGGACACAATTCCATCTATGATACTAGATTGTTGTTGTTGTTAAGTGTCATTTCATAGTGGTGCTGTATAGAGTTTCTGAGGAGCGACAGGTGAACTTGAACCACCAACCTTGCAATAGAAACTGACTTTGCAGTCTAGCTCATTAACCCACAATATGATTAATCATGGTTCAAACTCACCAGCTGCTCCTGAGAAACCCCATACTGGGTCACTATGAGATGACACTTAACAACAACAACAAACAGGGTTCCAAGAACCCACATCACTAAGCAAATATTTCAGGTTGGTTCCTTAGTGGAACATTGTGCATGCATCCTGAAGTTCACTTCACATTCCTGAATACTAACATTCTTGCAACACTTTTTTAGTATAAGGCAGTGAGATTAGTCAGGTTAGCCTGAAAATTTTGAAGATGTTCATGAAGGTTAGTCACCTGGAGATTTTATTCTGAGCTAATAAAGACTAATATTTCTAATGACTTCTGAAGATATAACTGGAAATTCTTTTGGGAAACAGGGTAACTGGAGTAAAGGACATTTAAAGTGGCCCTGCATGCAGAGGGCAGCTCACTGGAGGTGATCTTGTCACTGTCATGAATGTGAAGACAAACGTCCTTTGACCTGCTCTGTGCCAGCTCCCTTGTTCCATGCTGCCATAAATCAGACGTGGAAATGTGACTCAGAGCCAGTCCCAGGACAGAAAACACTTCCTTGTACACATCAAAAGGCAGTGGACTTCCAGGAAGTTTACAGATGTTCTGATCTTTGTTCCTATTTCACCAAGAATGATCAGTTTTGTGTTGACTTTGCTTAAAAACAAAGGACACCCATCTGTTAATGGTGCTTTTATCTGATTTAAACATTTTAAGGAATTTTAAAGGGAAAGGAAATGATTTTCATTCAAGTTAGCAAATATATATTGAAATCAGATTTAAAAGAAGGCAAGTTTAATAAAATTCAAGTATTATTTTACACCATCTGAATAGTGGGGCCCTTACAGAATGGAAAAATGAAAGTCTAGTGTTTTAATTAGAAGAAAGGTGAGAGAGAAATGAATTATTTCTTAAGACAAGAGAACAAAATAGGACTAGAACTGACTGACTGACTGTCTTCATAATTGACACACATATCCTCCAAAGTCCCTAACAGCTTCCTGAAGAAGCAGTGGCCTAAAGTACTATGCCTTTATAGGTCCTATATGAGGATTATTTTAAAACAGCTGATTTGTTGTAAATTATACGTGGAGGAAGTCAATACCGGGAGACATTTATATTTAAGATACTTTACCTGATGAATGCTACTTTATCACCAACTTTCACTTGCAATAGGAGGTGCACATTTTTATATTAGTAGCACATAACAATTTGTAAACTTAGGTCTATGCCTGGGTTCTAGTCTAAATGATTTTCCTAACTGGCTGTGTGACTTTAGACAAGTCAATTTTGGATTTATTTTCTCATCTGTAAAATGGGCTGCCCATGATAGTCCTTAGGATGCCTTGCAAACACAAAGTTCTATGGTTCTAGACATTTAGATATGATTCAAAAGAAAATTGAAATTGATGGGATATTTCTGAACCTTGATATAATGAAAGCTTATATTTTCAGTATCATTAAATTGTTGCATGGATTCTGCAATGATCCTCCGCCATTACTTAATCTCACTATTAAGAAGATCTGGAGGAACGTTTTCCCAAAGAGGTTAGCTAACTTAATCCGTCTCTGGGTAACAGTACTACTTTTCCCTTAGTAAAGCTTCCTTTATAAAGAAATGTTTTGATCTGAACTGACAACTTTGCACACTACTGTTTAAGATACAGCTAATGATAAAAGTCTACTTACTTTTATCTGGATAAACCCTCTATTCTTTTAGTTACAAAGCCATGGGAAGGAAATGAGATCCATTAAGAAATATTCATGTGATAGAACCAAAGAAAAGCTCTTTGTATGATTACAACAGGCAAAGGCAACTGGGAGCTCAGGCTGAGACATGATATGCAAATGAGGTCACTGCCAGATTCTATGGATTGAGTCAACCCAGTCTGGATGGCTGAGAGTGCTGACTAGCCAGCTGTTGGATTATCTGAGGACATGCTTCTCACCCTGTCCTCTGTTTTTACACTTCATGTTTCATTCGCATCAGGATCTCTGGAGATCAAGGAAATAGATAAAGTTCAAGTCAACCATTTTTTTCTCCTTTCTAGTAACTCAGATCAATTACTTAGCTGGGAACAAAAGTTGAAATTGATGATATAGGTGTGATTTGGAATTATTAGTACATTCCAACCATATGGCTTATTTGTTTTTGCTGCAACTGTAGACAATAGTTAGAGTGACATTCTTCTAAATACTAGGGAAGCTGTTATCACAACCTGTTGCCTTTAAGTCTCCTCTAACTCACAGAACCTCCATGTGTGCCAGAGTAGACATGTACTCCGTAAAATTTTCAGTGGTTGATTATTTTTGGAAGTAGATTGCCAAGCTTTTCTTCCAATACTCAAACCTCCACTCCTATGGAATTGTTGTTAGATACTAACAATTATGACTCGATGTTCCTTTCTATTTGAATATTTGAAGTTATAAGCTGTTTTATGTCTGGAAGTGATTATATAGGACCACAATCTGTTCAACAGCATCCATTCATGTGATAGCAGAAAAATGTCTTACTCAAGACCTTTTATGTCCACTTTGGATTTTGTCTTGAACCCCAGAACATTGAGGCAGACAGATTAATGTAAAAATAGCTAAATACAATCAGACAGCATTTATGAAAATGTAGGCATTAACTGTGGGTTGCCTTTTTCTATTCCTTGCATTCCCAACAGAACCACTATTCTAGATCTTTCTGACCATAGTGTCTTTACCAGAGGAAGATGATCATTTTCCCCATTCCTTCACATACAAGGAGCTCTGATAGCAGGATGGATTATGTGTTGTGCTACTAACCACAAGGTCAGCAGTTTGAATCTGCCAGCCGCTCTGCAGGTAAAAGATGAGGCTATACAGAGTTGCACCTTCATATACAGCATCTTTTATTCTCCGTTAGCAGAGCAGTTGACTTGTTTCTCCTACTTCCCTCCATATAGTAATTGCTTCCTGGACATACTTGCTTTCTATCCAGACATGGAAGACAGGGACAACCATTTCAGTGTTGCTATTGCTAAGCTTTCCCAAGTTCCTGGCTCTGACATACGAAATCCCCTCTTCATTCTTGCTAGTATAATCCTGCTTGAGGGAGAATGGATCTCTGCCATCTTTGGACCACCAAAACTCATGTTTCCAGGTTCACGGATGTGTTCAGGAGCCCTTTAGTTCGTCAGTGAGCCCTTTAGTTCATCAGTGACTCCCTATTCTGTTTCTCATTACTTTTGTTTCAATACAGTTTACCACAATGCTGAAGTAATCTCTGGAGTGAGAGGGTGGACAATCAGAGTGTTCATGGAGGAAGCAATGCAATCTAGACTTAAAAGACGAGTATTCATTTATTCAACAGTTATTTATTTGGCACCCACTGAGTGTTAGGGATGTCACAGATCTGAAGGAATCATAACGAAGAAAACTCAAGCTGCAGGACGGGAGTTGGGACAGTGATTATCCTTCTTTCTCCATGTCTCGTGATGGTGGTGGTTATGTGCCGTGGAGTCGGTTCCAACTCAAAACCACCCTGAACAGGGTTTCCGAGGCTATGAATCTTTATGGGAACAGAAAGCCTCATCTTTCTCCCATGGAACAGCTGGTAGTTTCAAACTGCTGACCATGAGGTTAGCAGCCCAATTCGTAAACACTAGCGCTATCAGAGCTCCATCTCTTGTGGTTGAGGTAAAAATTCCCTGTAACAGGACCAAGTGGATTTCTCTGTTTGTCTCATCTTCCCAAATGAACCATTTTAAGGATTTCTGACAACCACCTTTTGAAATTTGTTTTGTGACAGATGATTCAAGAGAACCGGTTTCTCATAGAAATGGCAGACACAGTCCATGAAAAGATTGTACAGTGTCAGAAAGCAGGTAATTGTTTGTTTTTTTTTTTTCCTATTTTGTTTAGAAAAATGGTAATAGTGTTTAGCAGATTTTTAAAAAGAGATTTTGTTCTCCTAAAATTCAAATGCATTATGTCATAGTTTATGCTCTGAGTTACATTAAAGTCTGGGTTGAGATGTAGGTGACAGTATGCGGGAAGGTAGTATGGAACCTGAAGACATTTGAGTGACAAGAGTTTCTGAATTTACTTCTTTAATTTGGAGGATCTATTTAAACTTTTACTACTGGTGTGGAAATGATGGTTATACACTGCTCCTAAGACCCACTTCCATTTACAGTTTGAACCATGATCTTATTAATCTTCTAGGTTTCCCCCACTTACTAGTCCTCAATTTCGATTTGTTCTTTTTTTTGAGGGAGAATGTAATGGGTCACATACCTGCAAAGGCACACTTCAGTTTATGTTCACCTCCATCTGCACCTCTGTGTTTCTATATATCTTCAGTTCATGATTCACATGCTTCTTATCCACACACAATAATGATCATGATGAGGAAAAGGACAATAGAAACCAATTCTGGACGTATATGTATGTAGTATACTAAGTGCATACACGATCTTACTTAATCCTCATAACAACTTTGTCAGATAGTCATTATTTCTAATTTACAGACAAGTTGAGATTCTGGGTAAATAAGCAAATTCCCAATATTCTACACCAACAAGTTGTGAAGTTGACCTTTGAACTCATACCAGCCATTTAAAATGGTGCTTTGAACCAACTGACCAATAGGCTTAGATGTTCCAATTGATTGGTAGTACAGAAATAATAACACCAAATATTATATAAGTCTTACCATTTGCCAGACACTGCTTTAAGAGTTATACATGAGACTTGAATATATTGACTCAGTTTTAGCCGTAGACCATATTTTTATTATTGCCATGTTCTCAGGGAGGAAACTACAGCACAGCCACTAACTTAAGCTCAAAGAGTTTAAAAGTGGAAAAGCTGGAATACAAATGTATGCTGTGAAGTTATGCTCTTAGCCAGATATACAATGTGGCCTTTCTGTATAATTTACAGTGTAAATTGGAAGTGACTCAAAGGCACTTAAGGACAACATGGCATCAGAAAAACTAATGTGGTTTTAGATTGTGTTAAACGATTGGCTACTAATCAGAAGATCAGAGTTTGAATCCTCTAGCTGCCCAACCGGAGAAAGATGTGCGCGTCTGCTTCCATACAGATTTACAGCCTTGGAAACCCTATGGGTCAGTTCTAGTCTGTCATACTGAGTTAGAACGAACTTGACAGTAGTGAGCTTGGTTTTGGTGGGTAACCAGGGAAAGAAGAGTGCTTCAAGACCACCTTGAGTATGATGTTCACTCTTGGATGCATGTTCTCTACTGCTCAACTCTGGAGAGCTGCATAACACAGTAGCCTTGTATGGATACCATCTTTAAAAGGAGACTTTAGTGAGCTTAAACATGTCAGAATGGGGACTGTTTAATCTAGAGACGAGAAGATTTGAGATTTTATCTAGCATTCTTCTTCACATATTTGAAAGGGTTGTACTATGGAAAAGAGATTAGAACTTGTTGGTGAGAGTCCAGCCAACAGCTGGGAGTAAAGTTCCAGGGAGAGAGATTCAGTCGTAACTTTCCAAAGATGGAATGAACTGTCCAGAGGAGAATAGGTTTTTAAGCTCAGAGGTACTCAAATAAAAACTGAGGAAGCAGATGATGTTGCTGCTTTTTTAGTAATATTCAAGCTTGAATGACTGGCTGAGTGAGAAGTATTTTAAGTATATTCCCAAATCTGAACTATTAAGTTTTTTCCAAGAATGCTGTTTTTGTTTTTTTAAAAAAACAACACATTTTATTTTTGACCAACACTGACTGTTACCTACCAGTTTTTGTCTATGTGGGTCTCTACTGCCAAGTCATAGGGTTGGCTTATAGAGGGAAAGATATGTTGAGTCATTATCTATATTTACCATTCACACTTCATGCCATTTCATACAAAAACCAGGAAGAGGACAAACAAACTGGCTATAACCTGTTCCAAGAATTTGCTTCATAGCCTGCAATATCTTTATCAATATTTAAAATGTATAATGTAGCCAAACGCATTGATTATTGTTGGTTTTCCCCTGTGGACAGGGATTTGGTGGAAATGAACATAATGGAAGGAAGAATTCAATTTAGGGATTTAGAAACAATCAAAAGATGGAAATGGGAAATTGTATTTTCATAATAAAATGCCCAGTTTTTGAAATGTGTACAAATGTTTCCTGTACTTTCTCTGTTTAAAGGGATGGAGTTCCATGAAGAACTTCATAACCTGGGGGCTAAAGAAGGCTTGAAAGGAAGAAAACTCAACAAGGCAACTGAGAGTTTTGCTTGGAATATTACGGTATTGAAGGTACATTCAATATTCAGCCTCCCTTGGTCTCCTTTGGCCATTGTCTTCTCTTCCTCACCTGTTCAACTTGTAGAGAAGTATTGGTGACTAAACACTGATGGTGGGAACTTTACATATCCTGTGGTCCCATAGTGGATTAAGCATTGGGCTCCTAATCGAAAAGTCGGTGGATCGAACCATGGGCAAATTATAAGACAGCTTGTTTCTGAAAGATTTACCACCTTGAAAACCCATGGACTCTGCTCTTAAGGGTGTCTCTGAATCAGAATTGACTTGACGGCAGTGAGTTTCATTTTGTTAGTTAGTTTTGTTTTGGTGGCCTGATTACCAGTTCATGCTCTGAGAGATGCACACTAGACTGACAAGCTGTCCTCTGAGGTTTGCAGTGGAGACAGAGGACAGCCGGTGTGTGAGACCTAATCCCATGCTGGTGTTTATGTAAGTGTGGTTTTATTCCCATGAGCACTTCTGCTTCAGACAATATGACTATCCTTGTGTGTGGAAAGAGTAACAGCAAGCGTTGCTGGGTAGGGAGCCAACCTTAATGACTTGGAAGAGACTTAAACTACGGGATACCTGGGAGCATTTAAGATTATTTTAACAACAGCCTCTATAAATGTGTTTCTTTTGAAAGATAGTCTTGGATGTAATTTTCTTGAGATTATGATTTGCCCTCTGTTGAAAATTAATTTTGGAAATTTGACATAAAGATACCACTTTTTTATTTTCTTATGTGAAAGGAGAAATGACTTAGGCAGTTGGAGTCATTTACTCTTGGCATGTGATAGGAGCAAAAACAACAAGAAACAAACAGCTACAGACAACATTAACAATTGCTAACCTTTAAAGAGCACCTACTATGTGCCAGGCACTGTTTTACGAGGTTTACATGAATTAATAATTTAATACTCATAGCAATCCAGTACTATTGTCATTTGTTTTACAGGTACAAAAACTGAGGCATTGAAAGTGTGTGTTATTAACCAAGGTCTCCCAGCTGGTAAATGCAGGAGCCGGTGGTTGGACCCAGGCAAACTAGCTGCAGATCCTGGGTCTTTAACCAGCTTTCAGAGGTGTTCTACACACTTAAGTAAAAGCGCTAGATGAACTCTAAAATATATTACACAAGTTTATCAAAAACTCAGTTCACAGGTATTTATTAAGCCCCTACTACCAAGGAGTCCTGGTATGGCGTTGTGGGCTAATGTGTCAGACTGCAAAGTTGTTTGAATTGCAAGGTCGGCAGTTCAAGCTCACCCGCTGCTCCTTGAAAACCCTATACAGGGTTGCTATGGGTCGGAATTGACTCCATGATACTTAACAACAACAACAACAACCAAGGAACTCTGGTAGCGTAGTGGTTACAAATTGGGCTGCTAACCTCAGGGTCAGCAGTTTGAAAGTACCAGCTGTTCTGTGGGAGAAAGATAAGGCTTTCTGCTCCCATAAAGATTTACTGCTCCAAAAACCCTGTACAGGGTCGCTATGAGTCAGAACCGACTCCATGGCACATAACCACCACCATGTTCTAGGCTCTGTGCAAGGCACTGGGGGTACATGGAAAACAAAAGATACAGCTCCTGACCTCATAAAGTTAACGTCGTACTGGGGAAGACAGGACATGTTTGTTTAAGGGAAGGAAGGCATGGTAATATTAGTATAAAGATGAGTTTATTATAACAGTAGGCTATAGCAAGGCAGTATGAGACTTGGTACAGACATTTGTTGTTGAGCAAAATTTTATGTGGCCTAGTTATTGTGTTAGTCACTAAAAAATGTGCTAGGAATCAAATGCTAAAAGGGCATTTTATGACTTCGTATCAACACATGTTGACCCTGCTGTTATTACTCTCCCCATTTCACAGATGAGGATATTGAGGCTTGGGGAGATTTAAGGTTTTTGACTGCAGTCACAGAGCTTGTATATGCAGAGCTGAGACTTTAAGTTATGTCCATAATGCTAACCACTGCCCTCTTTAAAACTCAGTCCAATGTGGCTGAGTCTCCTTCACTCCAGGCAGCCCGGGGCAGGGGTTAAGAGTGCAGGCTTTGTGTGCAGACTCCCTGAGTGATGTGAGACTTTAGCCAAGTTGTTTAATGTCTCTGAGGGGGATTTGTTGTTGTTGTTGTTGTTATGTGTCGTAGAGTCAGTTCCAACTCATAGCGACCCTATACAGGGTTTCCGAAGCAGTATATCTTTATGGGAGCGGAAAGCCTCATCTTTCTCCAACGGAACAGCTGGTAGTTTCGAACTGCTGACCTTGCAATTTGCAGCCCGATTCGTAACAACTATGCTACCAGAGCTCCTTTTGAGGGGCATTCTTATGCCCAGGCTTTTATGAGAATTATATGAGTTAACATACACAAAAGATTGAAGTCATTGTTACTCTATATGTTGATACTCTGTTGTTGTTAGATGGCAGTCAAGTCAGTTCTAAGTCATAGCAACCCAGTATAGGATTTCCTAGGAGCCGCTTGTGGGTTTGAACTGCTGACCTGTGGTTAACTGTCCAGTGCTTATCTTATATCACATCAGGGTTCCAATCTATATGCTAGCTATTACTTTTGATTTGTTTGTGTTTTGCCAGGTGAGGATGAGGGTTTTATGGTGGTTGTTTCTTTCTTTCTTTGTTAACTTCTGATTCAAACCCAAAGAGGGGTGGTGGCTCAGTGGTTGATTTCTTGTGTTTCCTGTGGGGGACCTGGGTTTGATTTCTGGCCTATACAGCTCATGCATGGTTATCACCTGTCTGTCAGTGGAGGCAGCAGATCTTTCAGACTAAGATGGACTAGGAAGAAGAGACTTGTGAAAATCAATCAATGAGAACTTTGTGGATTACAGCATCCCATCTGTACCTGATCGTGGGGATGGTGCAGGACCAAGGCAGTGTTTCTTTCCACTACCCAAGGGATTGCCAGGAATCAGGGACTGCCTAGCTGGCAGCTAACAATGGCAACATAACAGAAACAAGTATTGTCTGGGGTTTGGGCATGTGTTTTGGTTTAATAACAGAAGCTGATTGTTAGACTGTAGCTGAACAAATATAACAGCTGTGCAAATCATTTCAAGGCAGGTCTTTACAAATAGAATTGATCTAATCGATTTGATTTAATAGGATCTAAGGAACTCTGGTAGCGTAGTGGTTACAAATCGGGCCGCGAATCGCAAGGTCAGCAGTTCGAAACTACCAGCTGCTCCGCAGGAGAAAGAGGAGGATTTCTGCTCCCTTAAAGATTTACAGCATCGGAAACCCTGTTTAGGGTCTCTATGGGTCGGAACCGACTCGATGGCACACACCAACAACATAGTTCATATATTAAGGAGCTCTGGTAGTATAGTGGTTACGAATCGGGCTGCGAACCTTAAGGTCAGCAGTTCGAAACTACCAGCTGTTCCGTGGGAGAAAGATGAGGCTTTCTGCTCCCGTAAAGATTTACAGCCTCAGAAACCCTGTACAGGGTCGCTATGGGTCTGAATCGACTCGACAGCACTCAACAACAACAACGTAATTTGTATACTAGCTTCTGGGCACTTCAGTTTGAGCACTAGAAATTGAAACAAGAGGAGTGGATATTTTCAAATGTCTGGCATTTTCTTTCTTTCACTGTAGGATTTGGTGAGCTGTTAATCAGGTATGTTTCCCAAGAGCTGAACAAAAAACCCAACCCATCAGGCGGCCACTCCCTTCTTGCAATGTGAATTTTAAACTAAGAGATTCTGTTTGTTGTTGCTAAGTGCTGTTGAATGGATTCGGACTTACAGCAATCCTGTATAGGGTTTCCAAGGAGCAGCTGATGTTTGAACTGTCAACCTTGTGGTTAGTTGTTGTTGTTGTTATCAGGTGCCATCGAGTTGGAACTGATTCATAGCGACCCCATGCACAGCAGAACGAACAATGTCCAATCCTGGGCCAACCTCACTACCGCTGCCACACTTGATGCCATCAATGATGCCACCTGGCTGATCCATCTCGTTGGGGGTCTTCCTCTTTTTCTCTAACCCTCCATCTTACCCAGCATGACATCCTTCTCCAGCGACTGTTCTCTCCTGACAATATGTCCAAAGTATGAGAGACAAAGCTTAGCCATCCTGGCCTCCAAGGAGCACTCTGGCTGCACTTCTTCCAAAATGGTTAGTAGTCCATTGCTTATCATACTTCTTCACATTAGGAGACCCTGTTGGTCACTGTTAATTCCAGTGATGCTGCTCTGAGCCGACCCCCACCCCTAGAGCTCTTCCTTGAGTTTGTTTCTTAGATCTGCAGCTGTCTTTGTTCCTCATACTTCTACAGCCTTTCTTTTGCTTTTCAGAGTTCCTCAGAGTCTTTTGATAAATTCCCATTGCTAACCACTGGCTCAGTTAGTAGTAAGTACGTGTGGCACTGTGGATTAATGAGCCAGATGGCAAAGTCATTTCAATTGCACGGTTGGTGGTTCAAACTCACCAGCTGCTCTTTGGAAACCCTATACAGGGTCGCTGTGGGTTAGAATCGACTCAACAACACTAAACAACAACAACCCTGGCAAATGGAGTTCTAATAGCATAGTGGTTATGATTCGGGCTGCTAACCTCAAGGTCGGCAGTTCAAAACTACCAGCAGTTCCATGGGAGAAAGATGAGGCTTTCTCCTACAGTAAAGAGTTACAGCCTCAGAAACCCTATGCAGGGTCTATGAGTTGGGATCAACTCCACGGCACATAACCACCACCACCACCACCCTGGCAAAACATGGAATTAGTAGGATAGGATGAGAAATTACCTATCAAATACTGCAGTGTTTAGTTGAAAAGTTTCCTTACACTTGATTTAGACAAGTAGTTCCCACTCCTGGAGAGGCTGGAGAGGCAGGCACACTAATCAATGAGTATTGGGTGAATATGTGAATTCATTTATCTAGAACTAATTAATGCCTGTGAGTAAAGGAGGACCTGGAAAAACTGAGAAATGTGCCCTTCAGAGAAACGGTGGGGCGACAGAAGGAAGTGCTGCAAAGGGTCAT